TGTGTGGTGCCGTGGACTCACTTGAGGGAAGAGATGCCATCCAGAGGGACCTTGATATGCTCGAGAAATGGGCCAGTGCAAACTGCATGAGCTTCAACAAGTCAAAATGCAAGGTCCTTCACCTGGGTCGGGCCAATCCTAGGCACAAATAAAAACTAGGCACAGAGTCGGTTGAGAGTAGCCCTGAAGAGAAGGATTTGGGAGTGTTTATAGATGAGAAGCTCAACATGAGCCGGCAGTGCGCTCATGCGGCCCAGAAGGCCAACTGCATCCTGGGGTGTATCAAGAGAAGCGTGGTCAGCAGGTCAAGAGAGGTGATTCTCCCCCTCTACTCTGCTCTTGTGAGACCCCACCTCGAATACTGCGTCCAGTTCTGGTGTCCCCACCATACGAGAGACATAGATTTGTTGGAGTGTGTTCAGAGGAGGGCCACAAAGATGATCCAGGGGCTGGAGCACCTCTGCTACGAGGACAGGTTGCGGGAGCTGGGATTGTTCAGCCTTGAAAAGAGAAGACTTCGGGGGGACCTAATAGCTGCCTTCCAGTACGTGAAGGGAACTTACAGGAAGGCTGGGAGGGACTTTTTACAAGAGTGTCCACTGATAGGACAAGGGGAAAAGGGCTTAAGTTGAAGGAGAACAGATTTAAATTAGATCTCAGGAAGAAATTCTTCAGTACGAGGGTGGTAAGACTTTGGAATAAATTGCCCAGAGAAGTTGTGGATGGAGGTGTTCAAGGCCAGGTTGGATGGAGCCTTGAGTAGCCTGGTCTAGTTCAGAGCCGTCCCTGCCCATGACAGGGAGGTTGGATTAGATGATCTCTAAAGTCCCTTCCAGCCTATGCCATTCTATGATTCTATGATTCTACGATTCTATGATTCTATGATTCTATTTAAATGGGACCACTGTTTTTTATTGTTTGGAAGCTAAGGAGATCCAGTTTTTCTGTAATGTTTTTCACCCTCAGCCCCACAGTCATGCCTTGAGCAGCTGTCACTCTACTGAGGACTTTCTGAAATTTCAACACACTTCTCTGGTTTGAAGTACTAAGGCTGGATGATTGGTTGGGTATGAATGGAGATGTTACATATAACCTGTTGGAGGAAGTCTTCCCAGGATATGTGGGAGCCTGACCAGCTAATACAGCTGGCTTAAACCAGATGCTCGACGTGAAGTGATGAACACTCCTACTGCCAGCACTTTAAAGCCCCTGGCAGATCTAACCCTTTTCAGAGCTAGTCTAGGTCACAGGGCAGTAGAAACACCAGTGACCTTGTGTTATTGGGGCACTTTCTGTTACTAACACCTGTAATATAATACCAGCTCCGGATGGAAAGTAGAGTAACATCAGGAGACAAGTTCATTAGCTATTCCGCCTGTCCTCCTTGTGCTTCCAGCTGTATAGCACATTTAAAGTACTCAGAGCGATGCAATTTGACCTCTGAAGCTATTCAGTAAAGGATTTTGCTTATTGAGGAAGACAGCATCTACTAATACTACGTTGCTGCCACTTGGATGATTTAGATTAGCATTCGTGTGAGTTAAAAGGAACATTCGACCTCATTAACTTTTTGGGGTAATGGCTGCCTCCCAGAATTAGCTTTGAAAATGTCTGCTTTAGATTACAACCATGTACTAAAAAGAGATTCCAGAATTGCTACAACACTCTATCCTCATTGTCTGCCTGATTAAGTACGTTCAGTTTATAAGATACAGAATGATTTTCTAGCACTCAGATAAGTTCAGAACAAAAGGCAGCTTTGCCTGTGTAAAATATCTTCTTTATATTCACCAGTAAAGAACATTTTGCAGTTACAAGTCTCCTGACAATCCTGTCCTTTGTGCAGGAGAAACAGTCTGTCCTACACTCCCTTGCCAATTTCTACAGCCGTAGAAATTTATTTCTGTCAGTAACTCACAAATATCATCCAACGACACACAAGCGTAGGCTGCATTCTGTAACAGCATGCCATTTCTATAAATCATACTGCTAGCCATGTACTTCCAGTATGTTTTCACAGGCAGTTGAAACATGGTGGCTACTAAATTCACAAAACAATCAGCATTCAGTGATGATGGTTTGTAAGCTGTATAAATTGAATTAATACTGTCACAAAATTCGATTACTTCAGTACCTGTATCTGCTCTCAAGCACAATAGTAAATTTGGTAAAAAAAGGAGTTAGGAGAAATAAGGGAGAGGAGTTTTCAAAAAGGAAAGTCTTAGAAGTTTTAAAAAACTTAGTAATTTTTATTGACACCTGAAACGGAAAATATTTGCTGTGCATTTGTTGTCATGATTGCTGGCTACGCTGATAACTGAAGTGCCTAGCTGTGAGGTGAACCATGAACAAGTCTTACTAGAATAGAATCATAAGGAGACAATTTTAAAATTCCACATGACTCAAAACCTACTTCCCCCTCCAGAAGAAATATCTTCATTCCTTTTTACTTTTCAAGAAGAAGTAGACTGTTTCAGTGTTTGTCAGGGCTCCAGACTAACACTAGAAGTAAAAAGCTTGCATGCTGTGGCAAAAATAGCAGTGTTATGCATAAAAGATACATGAATGAAAAAAACGTAAAAATGTTTCTTTGTATGCCTATAGACATGACACAGAGGCTCCTCCCATTTGGTCTACAGCAGTAATGAGTACTGCACAGATGTCTGAGCATGCAAGCATGCTCTCTTTGACAGTCCCAAAAACTCAGCAAGCCAAACCCCTAGAAACAGCTAGCATGCCACATATGGTGAGGTCTTTAGCAAGCAGTACAGGTATTTTTCCTCTGTGCAATGGACTTGTGAAGACATGTTAACAAAAAAAAATTAAAAAAAGGCAAAAAAGCAAGTCATTGGTCCTCTCTGCTAACTATAATAGGTCATTTTAAAGTAAACGTTCAATATTCAGTTGACATGAATTTACCTGGGTCCAGTTGCTCACTGTCCAGTCAGATGGACACAAGACATCTCTGTTGCATGACAGATGCGTCTTTGGTTTGAGCAGGTGCTGGCATTCCGTGGCAGCCAACGCCTGCTCATCAGATCCCACTGTCTGGATGCAAAGCACAGTTCGCTTCTTCTGGCCTGTTGGGCCACACGTAGTCGAACATTTCTGCCATTCTCCTGCCCACCACCTGAAAAATAGGGGGGTGAGAAACATCAGAAAACAATCCATCACAAGCACATTAAGGAAAAGGTCAGAGACCACACGAAAAAGCACCAGAAATTTCAATTCTGGGTTCAGATACATGCTTTTCATATTAAATCCAGAGCACTCAAGCTTTCGCATCTGCCTTGTGCTTTAGTGCAAGCCAGTCATCGACAGACGCTGATTTCCAGACAGCAGTAGGCACTGAGAATTATATTTCTACAACACGTAAGAATCCAGTGCGTAGATAGCCTTTAAAATCCACATTTGAAGAACTGCTAGGAAGTTTAGTAATCTATTTACTCTATTCTATTTTTTATCTGCGTATTGTTACCTCAGTACAGAAAGAGTTAAGAAATGAGAACCACTGGAGAGTCTGTAATTACAGCACAGAGGTGGAAAAGATCCCCTCATACATGTCTATGCAAGTGCTTAAACTGGCCTTGGTGTGTCACTTCCAGAAAGGGAAGTAGCAAGGCACACACCTCCAAAAGACCAGGCTACTCAGAGCTGTGCTGCGTGCTCCCACGTGGGATCAGTGCCCCGCAGTGCCGTATCTCTGAGCCCAGCTAGGTGGTCTGTACTAGGCTGGGCTTTCCTGTACTTCGCTCCTGGGACCAGTGAAAGCGAGCCCCTTACGTGTCTCTCTCTTGATTAAAGATAGTCTTAGAATCATAGAATGGTTAAGGTTGGAAGGGACCTCAAAGATCATCTAGCTCCAAACCCCACTGCCATGGGCAGGGAAACCCTCCACTACACCACGTTGCCCAAAGCCTCATCCAACCTGGCCTTGAACACTTCCAGGGATGGGGCATCCACAACTTCTCTGTGCAACCTGTTCCAGTGCCTCACCACCCTCTGAGTGAAAAATTTCTTCCTTAGATCAAATCTAAATCTGCCCTCTTTCAGTTTAAATCCATTGCCCCTTGTCCTATCACTACACGTCCTTGTAAAAAGTCCCTCTCCAGCTTTCCTGTAGGCCCCCTTTAAGTAATGGAAGGCTGTGATAAGATCACCCCGGAGCCTCCTCTTCTCCAGGCTGAACAGCCCCAACTCTCTCAGCCTGTCTTCATAGCAGAGGTGCTCCAGCCCTCGCATCATCTTCGTGGCCCTCCTCTGGACTTGCTGCAGCAGCTCCCTGTCTTTCTTGTGTTGAGGACTCCAGAGCTGAATGCAGTATTCCAGGTGGGGTCTCACGAGAGCAGAGTAGAGGGGCAGAAACACCTCCCTTGACCTGCTGGCCACGCTTCTTTGGATGGTTGGCTTTCTGGGCTGCCAGCACACATTGCTGGCTCATGTTGAGCTTCTCGTCCACCAGCACTCCTGAGTCCTTTTCCTCAGGGCTGCTCTCAATCCATTCTCCGCCCAGCCTGCACTTGTGCTTGGCATTACCCTGACCCACATGCAGGACCTTGCACTTGGCCTTGTTGAACTTCATGAAGTTCTCACAGGCCCACCTCTCCAGCCTGTCAAGGTCCCTCTGGATGGCATCCCTTCCCTCCAGCGTGTCCACAACACCACACAACATGGTGTCATCTGCAAACTTGCTGAGGGTGCACTTGATCCCACTGTCCATGTCGCCAACAAAGATGTTAAATAGCACTGGCCCCAGTACTGACCCCCGAGGAACACCACTCATCACTGGCCTCCACTTGAGCATTGAACCGTTCACCACAACTCTTTCAGTGCGACCATCCAGCCAATTCCTTATCGACCCAAGTGGTCCATCCATCAAAATCATGTCTTTTCCAGTTTAGAGACAAGGATGTTGTGTGGGACAGTAACAAATGCTCTGGATAAGTCCAGGTAGGCGATGTCAGTTGCTCTTCCCTTATCCATCAATGCTGTAACCTCATCATAGAAGGCTTCCAAATTAATCAGGCAGGATTTGCCCTTAGTGAAGCCATGTTGACTGTCACCAATCACCTTCTTGTTTTCTATGTGCCTTAGCATAGTCGCCAGGAGGATCTGGTCCATGACTGGCCTGTAGTTCCCTGGGTCTTCCTTTTTTCCCTTTTTAAAGATGGGGGCTATGTTTTCCCTTTTCCAGTCATTGGGAACTTCACCGGACTGCCACGACTTCTGAAATATGATGGATAGTGGCTTAGCAATTTCATCTGCCAGTTCCCTCAGGACCCGCGGATGAACCTCATCAGGTCCCATGGACTTGTCCACCTTCAGGTTCTTTAGATGGTCTTGAACCTGATCTTCTCCTACAGTGGGTGGTTCTTCATTCTCCCAGTCCCTGCCTTTGCCTTCCGTGACTTAGGCTGTGCAGCTGGAGCTCTTGCCAGTGAAGACTGAGGCAAAGAAATCATTGAGAACCTCAGCCTTCTCCATATCCCGGGTAGCCAGGTCCCCTGTTTCCTTCCAGAGAAGGCCTACGTTTTCCCTTTTTATCACTGACATATCTATAGAAGTTTTTCTTGTTGCCCTTGATGTCCCTGGCCAGATTTAACTCTATCAGGGCTTTAGCTTTCCTAACCTGATCTCTGGTTGCTTGGACCATTTCTCTGTATTCTTCCCAGGCTGCCTGTCCTTGCTTCCACCATACTATGTCTTCCATAGTATAGTATGCAATGTTCTACTATACGAAAGATAAATGTTTCCTCTAGTGCAGTATTTTCTAATGCAAAACACCTTACTATAAGAGCCGTCCCCTTTGTATTTGGTTTACCTTATATTCTTCCCTCAGGTTGATCCAAGTATTTATCCCCATGCTGACCCAGAGTGGGTCAAATATCTGCATACCTGCCTTGCATGGTAAGAAAGGAGGACAAATGTGTCTGGGTTTCTACTTGAGAAGCACTGGCATCAACTGTGAAACATGCCACTTACCTAAAGATTTACCTTTAGAATTTAGAAAAAAAAAAAAAAAAAGTCTTATTTCTTCCAGTTTAGAGTGCCCTAGGGAAGAACACAGCTCCAAAGTGCTGTATAATAAATGTGGCCCAGCTCTGAACTCTAAGCCTCAAAAGCTCCTAGACATTATTACGAGTTTTAAAGCAGGTCATGCCAAAGCCTTACACTGGAAACAAAACAAGGATATATTTAGAAAACACCTTTCTAGACAGAAAGGTGAAAAAGTGGGTTTGGCTTACAACTAACATAATTATATTGTATTTTTTTTCCTTTTAAGATCAATAAACTTAGAGCAAAATAATCACATTCTGGTAAATACATCAAAGTTCAATGTCGTGTTTTATTACAGTTTTTACTCCTTGCCTTGACTACCATCTTACTGCATTTCTAGGTTCTTCAGTTTACTGACAATTCCTGTCCCCTTTCCTCTGTAGTTTCCATGTTCCTTCTCTGTGTCCTGACTAATTTATTCTTCAATTGCTGACGAGCTGTCACTGATGTGGAAGGCATTGACACCTATTATTATTATTATTATTATTATTATTA